ATTTCAGACCGTATTGTCAGCCTGCATGTGGCCTTTCTCAGACATTTTTTTTTTTATTTTTTTTTTTGCCTGTTTCCACACTGATAACCGGTGAGTGTGTCTCTGCAGGGCCCTCACACGGATTTCAACACCAGTCACGTCATCAGATCACCGCTCCAACGCCAGCCAGCCTGCACTCGTTTTATTCCCTGTGTGGAAAGGAGTTTATTCCCTGCCTCTCGGTGTGTGCTTCAGCATGCATGATGTTGCGAAAGAGCGCTTTCATTTGCACAGACAGCGAAAGCGGATGTGGGAGGCAGACCGCCCCCCCTATTTTTTCTTTCTTTTTTTTTTTTTTTTAACATATGTGGGAAAACGCATACGATCTGTCAAAATCAGTGAGGATAAATCAACCTGGGAGGCAGTTTTTTTTTTCTTTCTTTCTCCTGATCACAAGATGAGCAGCTCCCCGGTGCTGACCTGATGCTGCCCGTGTTCTCTTGCATAAGACTGTGTTTCTGTTGCATCTGTAGGATTTACCTGCTGTAATGAGGCGTACAGTCCGCAGGCTGCCGTCATCATTATTCCCACCTTTTCTGCATACTGAGCGCAACAAAAAAGCAGTGACACAGCCAGGCCTGCTTACTGTTTGCTCCTTCAATGTGTGTCAACTTACCCTCTCTCGCTTTTAGCAGTACAGTGTTGGCTACTATGTTCTCCAGCTCCATCAAAAAAATCCTAAGTGCAGAAGGGGTTTTCGGTACACAAGAAAAAAAAAAGAAAAAGAAAAAAAAAAAAACAGCGTCCTATCGGCGTGTACGGTGTGTTTCAGTCTTCTTCACTCCTCGTCGGTATCCGAGCAAATCTCTCTCATATCAAAGTCGTAAAGGATAAAACAGGATGTCATAGATTTGCTTGCAGTGTAAGCTGGGCATGGTTCTTGTTGTGGGCTGGAAGTGCGGCGCTGCATTTCTACTCCAATCCCCCCAAAACCATTCCATGCGTAATGTGGGTGCGAAGTCTCTCTCCGTTGCAAGGGGGAAACTGAAAGGGAATCTGGAGGCTCCGACGTCTAGCGAACCGGGCTTCTTTCAGCGGGATCCTTCTCAACGGTACGCCAGGATAGCAGCAGCTTTACCTTACAACAGCAGGGGTTGGCTGAGTGCACCAGAGAGGACATCGGCGCGGCCCCCCTCCCCGGTTGGTGCGTAATCAGAATAGGCTGGGCCTCTCCGCTACAGCTGCGTCAAGACACCGAGTTCGAAGCCCTCCACAGGCTCAGCCAAGCTGTCAGCAAAATAAAAGCCCGACACTCGTGCGATACTTGTGATAGTGTCTCGTGGTTTATTGCAGGAATGAAGACATGATCAGAGATATCACCACATTGTTTGTACTGCACTTGGTATATTGTATAGTGTGATGTGCAATGCATAATGACCCTGGGCCCACCAGGACCCACACACCACACCCCTCCTATATGCACATTGTTATTAGTTCTACTTTTCATATTGCATCTTGTACTCTATAATACTCTGTAGTATATCAGAATATTTTACTGCAAATTCTTACTGTATCTGCTAAAGACCCAAGCTCTTGTCTGATATGCGTTTAAAAAAAAAAAATTCTCTTTGCTATTTGGTCTTATTGGAACCTAATAAGTATAAAAACTAAATATCATAGATGTTAGTGTAGGTGTCCACACACATGGTATAAGGCCCCAGTTAAGCAGAATTAACTACAGTGGTAATATAACCCAAAATGTTATGTGAGCGCATGTGGACGGCAGGTCTTAAGAGGGTATTCTGTACTCTCATAAAACTCTACTCTTATTTTACTTTAATTGGAAATACCACCAACATGCACCTTATTGTAAGTACCAACAATTTTTGTACATTTCTGTAATTACCAGAATTTTAGGCACCTTATTGCTGTTTCTTCTACACTTTGGACAACAATTGCGTGATCTTTTGTACATTGTTTCTCATCTATCTATCTATCTATCTATCTATCTATCTATCTATCTATCTATCTATCTATCTATCTATCTATC